CCCAAGGGGGGCGGGGAAAAAGTTTAGGGTAAATTTTGGGGCGGGGGAAATAGGCTTTTGGAAATTTTGGGGAAAAAATAGGGGGGTTGGGGGGGAAGGGGAAAATTTAAAATGGGTTTGGGGTTTTAAATGGGAAAACCCTTTTCCCCCATTTGGGAAATTTTCTGGGTAGGAAGGGGGGGGGGAAGGTTACATGTTTGGGGGGGGAAAAATCCAAGGAACTTACAGGGGGATTTTTGGGGCATGGAATAGGGGGGGGGGGGGGGTAGTCTTTCGGGGGGGTGGGAAGGGTTTTAAAAAGGGGGGAAGGGATTTTTTTGGGAAAGAAAGATTTGGGAAAAATTTTTTGGGTTCCTTTTGGAAAAATGGGAAGGAAGGTTTGGCCTTGGGGGTTGGGTCTTGGGGGAAAAATTTTCCTCCTTTTGGGGGGGGGGGGGAAAAGGGTTTACCCGTTAAGGCATGAAAAAAAAAAGGGTTCCCCCCCCCCCCCCCCCCCCCACCTTGGGACACCCACCACCAACGACAACGTCGACTCGGAGTTTGAGAAGGAAATCAACTCGTGGGCGGAGGAAAACGTTGAAAGATCTCGGAGGGAACGTAGTGATGTAGACGGGTTGCAGGGAGAGTTCACACGAGAAGAGGTAGAGGACTGCGTAGCGAAACTCAAGAATAGAAAAGCGGCAGGGGTTGATGGAATTGTGAATGAGTTTTGAAAACAGGGGGGGGAGGAGATGATTAACAAGTTGGTCCGGATATTCAACTGGATATGGAAACACGAGTACGCGCCGAAGAGATGGAGAGAAGGAGTAGTCGTGAACCTGTTCAAAAAGGGGGAAAAAACTGACCCGGGGAATTATAGAGGGATAACCCTGCTGAGCACAGTGGGGAAACTGTTTGGCAAGATGATAGACAATAGAATGGGAGACATGTTGGAGGGGAAACAAAAGATCAGCGAAGGACAAGCTGGATTTAGACCAGACGTAGTTGTGTAGACCATTTATACGTTGAGTAAAATTATCCAAGGTAGGAAAGACGCCGGGCGTACGACATACTGTTTCTTCCTCGATATACAAAAAGCCTACGACACCGTATGGCGCAATGGATTGTGGAATAAGATGTGGGACATCGGGATCCGGGGGAAAATGTGGAGGATGCTGAAAAAGATGACAGAATGCACAAGAAGTGCGGTGATGTTGGATGGGGAAATTTCGAAGTACGTGGATATACTCCAAGGAGTCGCACAAGGCTGTACGATGTCACCCACTCTTTTCAAGATTTACATAAACGATTTGATAAGGGCGGTTGAAGCAGTAAGACAGGGAGTCCAAGTAGGGGGAAAGAGTGTGTCCGGACTGATGTTTGCAGATGATTTCATGGGGGTATCCGAAACACCAGAAGGGTTGCAAGAACAAATAGATGCGGCGGTAGGATACACCCGAAAATGGAGACTGTCGGCGAACGTAGGAAAATGCGCAGTAGTGGTCTGTAACGAAGACAAGAAAAATCCCGTAGATTCAAATGGAAATGGGGGGAGGAAGAACTACCGGTAGTAGACAAGTATACGTACCTGGGAGTAGAGATTTCGAAGGAGTGCTCATGGGAATCGCACATAGCAAAGTTGATTGGGAAGGGTAAAGCTCAGATAGGCAAGACGGACGAGATCCTTACGGACCCACACCTAGACACTAGG